TGTTTCCTTGGGTTTTCGGTTAACGTGCTCTAAATTAGAAAAAGAATATGAAGATACGATAAAATATACGGAGATATTGTGGGAATACAATTTTTGCAAAGCGTTTGTAATATTTTTTTTCTCGACATTGTTGATTACTTGGAAATATTTTATAATTAATCATGCAAGTGGCAGCGTCACAAGTATTTTCATATTCGCATGACAAAGATCCGCGAAACATCCTCTTCGATTTCTTGAATCGAAGGAACTTAGTATGTATACTTGTTGGGGCGGATAATATATAGGCTGCGTTTTCTTTGGACGCTTGAACGTCATTCTATCTTTACTGTTTATCACATGCCAAAGTGAAATAGAACGACGCTCAAGCGTGTGAAAGAGAACGCAGCTCGAGTATTTTAAAATTAATTCGGCAGCCTAGCCACTAGATGATGTCTCTACTAGTGAGTTCTCTCGCAGTTAAAATCCAGCTTCGAAGTGTATATAGAGGGGTGCCTGGGCGACGGAAAATTAAGACCATGCTTCACAGGATCAGTTCTGTAGTAGCAGATTTTACACCTCTTCTCTAACACGGAAGTATATTCAATCACGATGATAAGCAAAAGCTCTCTTCCTTGAGTTGTGAGAACGACTGGAATTCTCGACTCGTTTCGAGAACTCGGTTATCAATGATCGTTCACTCCTTGTACTCGGTACAAGGAGGAGGGGAAGAAAGAAAGCGTTCTGAGTGACCTTTACCAAAATTCCAACCAGTTTATAATAAAAATTGAAGTTTTTTTTGCAAGATGTTTTTTTATCTTTGAACGAGAGAAGAAAGTTAGGAAACTCGAACATTGTAAAAAATACACTCCTGATTAAATGTTAAAAATTTATTTTTTAAGTCTTCATATTTTCAATAGTTATTGGAGTAGCACAAAAAGGGGTGACGTTTTAGTAGCGAAAGGTTAATTTTGCCTACTTAACTAAACTTGTGCCTTGTAGATAAAGAAAATAACACGTGTGTGTATCCCTAAATATTAGTTACTATAAAATATATCAAGTCTCACAAAAATCAGGATGTACCTTGCGAATGAGATTCTCCCGAATCAAACGAAGAAGCCCCGAACATTAAGATTCCAGTCTGCGAGCGATAAAAGGTCGGGTCCCTACTACGTCATTAATTAAAGTTCCGCGTTATCGGTTCTTCACTGGGAATTTCGGCGAAACTCCACACGAGATATCGCGCAATTCGCGTGTACGTCCTCTCGCCTGCCGTGTGTTAAAGTCTCACGTCGCTATCTCTCTCGCTCTCGTTCTCGAGAATTTCGCGCGGAAATAACGAGGGGGAAACATTTTCAAGATCAACGGCGTTAGAGAAAACTAACAGTTTGCACCGACGATCTGGTTCCTCCTTATTTTCGTTTCTGAAGCGGGCGATTCGGTTAGGTCTCGCTTGAGTCTAAGAATAAGGGAGCAGCTTTCGCTCGGCTACAACGTCAGCATATCGAACCATCGAAGATAGTTACCGGTTAGTTCGACCCCCCGCTTGCGAGGCAAAGCACTATTGTTTCCCGGTGTCTGGTCCGTTCTCGCGCGTGTACGCGAATCCGTGATGCGCGGGACGGCGGCACCGGCTCTGCTTTGGTTCTACTCTAGGTTGACCTATAGAATGGTTCCCTCCTCGCTGTGTGCGTGCGTGCGTGCGCGCGTGTGTAAGAAATTCGGTCTCGGGATTGCGCGTCGCGACGACGGATTCTTCATTTTCTCTGGGTGGTCGAAATATACCGGCGATAAATTTGAACGCGGCGTCTCGCCGTACGCGGAAGGGATCTGGAAGCTTCACGATTTTTTTCGTTACTTTTTTTTTTTAGTCATTACGTGGGCCTGAGAGATCCGGTATATCCACGCGATCAGAAGGTCATGGTAAAAGTTTTCTCGCTAACGATGCGCTTAGCACTCAGGATAAAAAGATTTTGCTGAATTCTTAATTTTATGGATGAATATTATAATTTTATAATTAGTGCAAACAGCGTGTTTACTGTCTGGAAGAATCTGAGAATCTAAAAAACCTGAAATTCTCTGGGGACTTTTATGCCCGGAAAACCTGGGAAATCAAAGAATTCTCAATTTTATTGGAAATCAAAATATATTTAATGGATGTTTTAATGGTTTTTAATTTTATTTTATAATTTATAAATTTTTGTGAAACGGAAAATATTAACCGTTTGAGTACGGGAGAATTTTCTTATGCATATGCTAAAAGTCCGGGATGAAATGCGTAGTATGTTTTTTTGGGAAACAATGAAAATGGTTATAATTACCACTAATTGTTATGTAACAAGTATTTTTGATAAAAAAAAAATTTTTATTTTCACTTATAACAAAAATGTTTTGCTGCACAAATTCCATGAATTCCTTTTTTGCATATAGCGCAAATTAAATTAGATCGTTTAATTCCATTACCATCACTTTCAAGGTCATTACTATACTCTTCATTATCACTTCTCATAACATAGTCACTTTCAGATGAATCAGAACTTGACATGGTTATTTCGTAATTATCAGTATAACACTTGGTAAAAAAATGAAAACAATTTCTAATTCCTATAAAACAACGAAAGGATTTTTCCTACTAATAAATAAATAAATAACACACAGTGGTAAGCAATAATGTACCAGAGCCGTGGATTGTGGTACGGTAGAAAAAATGAGCCAAATATTTTCATATAACTCTTTTTGGTACATAAATAATTTTTTTGTAAGAATTATCTCTTGCCCTTATAGATCTGGTGATGATTTAAAAAAAATTACAGTCAAAACATTATATATCCTTTTACATTGGCCCATTTTTTCTACCGTACCACAATTCACAGGCTTTACTGCATTACTACTGTATATTATTTTAATTCTTATATTGTTAAAAGCCACAACTGAGTTAAATGAATAAAAACTGCTACTGATATTACTACAACTGCTCTTAATAATGGCGTAAAGTATACTACCAACAGCAGCGTCTTCGCATTCTCGATACAAAACAAGAGAAGCGCTATCGCGCTGCGCCGTATTTTTGGCATACGACAAGTGAAGCGCGATAGCGCTTCCCCGGACTCAAACGGTTAAGGACTCTGCACGATAAATATATATTTATTTGCAAGATACATTTAAAAATACTTTCATTTTACTTGAGATTGTTAACAAATTGACTGATGAAAAATCGGAGAATTTTCGAGAAATCTTTTTTCGGGTTTGAATAGGTTACCCTAAAAAAAGAAACGCACAATTTTGGTACGGGGCAATAATCTCTATTGTTTAATAAAGATTTATGAATAGCGTCTTAAAAATAGCGTAATCGCGCGAATAAAATACCTCAGTGAGAGTCTCAGGATATTTCGATGAATGAAAGCGACATCCAAGGTGAGACCAACGAAACCAAGAGTAGATGGAGTTTCGCTTTTCGCTGCCAAATGCGCACTATCCCGCGTAACAATGTGAACAGATAATCGTTCGGGATCAACGACAAGGCGCTTCGGAGTTTATCGTCAACGATTAGATAATCTCGCGAAATTAGACACAATGGCGTGCGACGCGATAAATCGTGTGGCTCCGGCACGAGCGAGTGAGCGAGCGAATCGAACCGGTAGCGCTGCTGTTAATTTACACTCAAGCTTGCGGGATCGCGTGGGTTTGACCAATTATCGGCGCGATCTAACCGACGACCGCGTGAAAAATTAATTCACCGATTTGTAAATCTAGGACGATTATATCAGCGAGTTTCGCGTTAAATTAGCGTGCGCGCGCGAGAATCTGAGCGGCAACCGGTTTTGATCTCTCGCTTGCATTTTTACGTCGCGCAGATGTGATCGAAGCGAACATTTCTCCTTTTGTTCTTACGGTATACTCAGGCGGTATATTTTATCTTGTAACGCCGTTTCTAGCGTGCGATCGCGCGCGTGCGAGAGACATAGAAAGAAAGAGAGAGAGAGGGAGAAAAATGTTGCGTTTAACGAGTAGTAAAATTTAATCGGATGTTTCTCTGGATGTGACACGGGTTGTTTACTATATCCGAATGTATACTATATTAGGACTCAGACGGTGAGCGCAGCGAGAGCCGAAGCAGAGAAGATCCGGCTGCTCGGGGAGGCCGAGGCTCACGCTCTGGAAGCAGTCGGGGTGTCGGAAGCCGAGCGTATGCGTATGAAGGCGACGGTTTACAAGAAGTACGGAGACGCGGCGATACTCAACATCACTTTGAACGCCCTGCCGAAGGTGGGTAACGACGAGTTTTAATCGTCCACTTGGCCGGTGCGTACCATTTCGTTGCTAAAACAATATCACTATATATATATATATACATCTTCTCGCAGATCGCAGCCGAAGTCGCGGCACCGTTAGCGAGAACGGAAGAGATCGTCCTTCTCGGTGGCAGCGACACGACCAGCGGAGAGCTCACGCGTCTCGTAGGGCAAGTACCTCCAGCTGTACATGCATTGACTGGAGTAGATCTTTCCAAAGTAAGTCTCCAACTGTCCTTATTCTCTCTTTATTTTTTTCTGCATTTTTGCCTGCCCTCCGGCAAAATTCGGCTTAACAGTAAGCAGTGCACTCGCGTGCCAAACACGGTCTCCAGACGATGCTTACGTAAGCGCGAACAAGCGTTAGCGTCGGTCTACAACAGGTATTTAAAGCCTTAAGCCTTTGAAAATTGACCCAATCACAGTCGAGTGTGAAGAGAATAATTAACTGTGGTTGGTCGATCTTTCAAGGCTCAAGGCTTAAAACACCTGTTGTAGACCGACACTTAAGCGGACGCGGGTTGGTCCTTAATTACTGTTGTTCGATTCTCAGGTATTAGGGAAAATACCAGGCGCAAAGTAAGTACTTCGGAGTCCTGCCAGTGTGAGTTGTGAGCAGCGACGACCGGGCGAACGAATATGAAGGGAAACCGGTTTCGAGGAAGGGGCAAAATCTGTACTGCCAAACTGTTTCTCCGCTACTCTATTACCTAGCGACGACACTCTCCGCTTTTTTCTCTTTCCCGAATTTTGCTCTACCTCAAGTCTAGCTACCGAAGTAGCGCCACGCGGACACGTGTGTGTGTCATTCTTCGTCTCGCGCGCGCATATGTCCGTTCGTGTTGTGTGCGTTTCGCGCGGAACGTTCTTTACTTTAAAACGAGGCGCGTCTACGACGCGCGGACGAGCGTCTTTTCGTTCGTGCGACGCCGTTGCGATCGAGATTCTCGGGTGGCGCGGGAACAGAGCGAGCGGAATCGCAATGCGTCGTACGAACAGAGCATTTCAACCGCGGTAGTTCCAAAAGTTTCGCTGTTTTATCCCTTTTACATTGTTGACATCGTTCCGAAAATTGACGACAAAAAAGAGACACTGCCCATGATGGTCATTATGCCTAAGGTGGGAACGATTACGAGTGCGTTGCGTTCACACAGCTGTTATCGGTGGGACGCATGATCGAACCACGGTACTTGCCTCGTGATCGAAAATATATTGCCAACCGCGTTCGTTGATCGTTCGATGGGAGGAGCAGAAAATCGCAATAAACACCACACATTCGTCCGCTCGCATAAATATATATTTTTACTACACAGTAGGGATGGGCGATTTGGAGGGAATGGGGGGAATCAATGTGCAAATAATCGGTCATTTCTTCTTACAACTCGTGGAATATAGTCGTGGATTATTTTTTAGTCTTTTTTACAACTGCGTTTGTGATATCGGATAAATTGTAATTGATAGTGTTTAATAGTAAAAGTATGTGAAAGCACCGCCGATTAGAAGGAGAAAAAGAAAAAGAAAACGAGAGAGAGAGAGAGAGAGAGAGAGAGAGAGAGAGAGAGTCGTACTACTTCAGGATAGAAAGTCTATTCGACTTGTTTCGAGTCGTATTGCATACACTACATACGAAAATCACAGGATCATCTTTCTTGATCGTGGACAAAGTTTAACGGACTGTAACTTCCGTACAAATGAAGATAATAACGTGTTTCACAAAGTATTTTACAGCTCGGTGTCTCTGGTTTTCAGATTTATCTTAAAATTTAATGTTTACTTCTTTCTTCCGATGTTGAACATAAACTACATTTTTAAAGCAAAATTCCGTCAAATGTTAACATTGGTGAAATTTGCCTATTTGCATTGTGTGAGTAGAGAATAATACATAAGTGACGTTTGAGTTAAAAGGGCGAATTTTCTACTTTAAGAACTCGGCTGAAAGTTGAGGTTGAAAATTGAACTAGCGTCATTTCTTATTTAACTCGATGTATCTTAACGTAAATTAACAGCAACATTATGATCTTGACATGTCTGTAAACTAGATACTTCAAGCTTTAAGGTACTTTTTGAACCGTCTCATTATCTTTGTTTCTCCCGAAGTGACAGCTCGTTTAAGATTCCGTCTATATTTTATATGTAAAGTGTACGTCTGATTTATTATTGAGTCGCACTACTTCCTCGATTTGTCGTGAGGTACAGTAGCGCTCCGTAACAGAGACTTCGGAACTAAATATCATAGTCCATACCCAAGATTCAAATCTTCTTTAACTCACCGATCACTTAGCTGAGACTCAAGCCTTTCTGGCAAGCTGCTAACTCTAATTTTAATAATTAATATCTCGAAAAATTAAATAAATTCGACAAAACCCTTAACATGGTTTGAATATTTTTCAATATAATTTTACCGTATTTAATTGCCATTTTCGGAAATACGCTTACCCATCACCGCTCAATTAAATACAGCAAAACTCCATGGAAAAAAGTATTTGACCCGTATCGAGTGTTTCGTTGAATTCATTTTCATATATTAATTATTTTAATTTTAATTATTCTTTTAGTTTTCAGATATAAATTATTAAAGTTAGATCTAGCCGTTCGCCAAAAGGTTTGAGTCTCGGCTAAGTGATCATGAATGTCGGTTGAAAAAGGTTCGAATCTTGGGTTGGACGTCGACATATAGTTCCAAAGTCTCCGCTACGATGCGCTACCGTATTTCACAACGAATCGAGAAAGTAGTGCGACTCGATAATAAGTCAGGCATACTTATATAAAACACAAACGCTTGCTGAATTATATATGAATTTTGCCCATACATATATGATTATATACGTACATATCGTATAGACATATATGATCATATACGTCTATACGAAAAAAATGATGCTTTGTCATTTATTAATTAAATGTCGATATCATGTGTTGTCAGAAGCACAAGTAAGCCGGAAGCATTTACTTCGATTGTGTTTGTATATAATTTATAAACGACAGTATTTTTTCGTTACGGATATATATGATTACATAGTCATATATAGGCAAATTTTATTTGATATGATCTTTTCTCTCCCCCGGATATCTGCTACGGTATTCTGATCGAATCCGCTGCCGATCTGCTGGCGTACTGCTAACATTTCGCTCACCGGGCTCACCTGCTTTTCGTGATCGTGCGAGATGATCCTTCAAGTTTTGCGCGTGGTGCAACACAACTCAGGCATCAGTCGAGACTTCTTGTTTTCAAATAACAAATGAAATACGCCAGACAAGTAGAACACATCACCCATCTCTCCTGTTACATACTAAATACTTTTTACATATTAGAGAAATACGCGGCGCGTCACAAATTTCACCACAAAGCGGCATCGTTAGCCGGGGGGGGGGGGGGGGATTTTCTTGCGGGAGAGATCGCGAGCTTCGCGAAGGTGCGTGTTCCGAGTGCACAAAAAAAAAGTGGCGCCGAATATATCTATTCAACGGGAAACAAGCCTATCGAATCACTGCCGAAACCGAGAATCCTTTCTGCTCCTTCCACGGTCCTTCGGTTATTCTCGAAAACGTCTAACGTATACAAATTCAGGTCTGATATACGGGATACATGATGATGTATCGCTGAGTCGCGCGCAGAGGAGAGGTCCTTCTAAATTTCACGAGGCACGAACGATCGCTTAATCGATATATCAGCAACGAGTCTATGTGTTCCACCGGTATATGGAGAACGGACAGCCAGCCAGCCGCTAATCAATATATATATATATAAATATATATACCGAAATTCGAAATTTCAATATAACCAATGTGATTAAAAAGAGTTTCGATCATTGTGTTCAATGTAATTAAGTAACTTAACGGACGAGGAGAAGGATGAGTTAGACGTTCAGCGCGGTTCAGGACCGGTGCACCACAGCTGCACCGTGGTCTCTCGTAGTCTCTGTACATACTTATAGTCACCGTATGTATAAATAGTCAAGAAGTTTCTATCTCCCCCGTGGAAACGGAAGGAAGGAAGGAGTGGAAGAGTGTGCGCCACGCGCGCGGCGTACCTCGAGATTTAAAAGCAAAAAAAAGAAAAGAAAGAGAGAGAGTACTCGTGACCGTAATTACATCAACGCTCGATTATAACGTTCTCGGTTGACCACACATCGGAATTCACGTTGCAATTGAAACGGAAAGGAAGAGAGAAATCGGAAGAGGAGAAAAAAGAAAAAGACAGGACGGTATTCCAAACTGGACAAGTGCCAATATATATGTACATACGATATACGACGTCTCGCCGGGTAGGGAGAAAGAAAAAAATAACGGACAGAAAAAAACACTGGGTGATCCCGTAACAAAAAGTTCGATATTATTTAGTATCGCGTAACCTATCGGTTACTACACACGATTGCGATTTATGAATCTAATATATACACGCATATATTACCTCATTCCCCCCCCCCTCCTCCTCCCACTTTTGATCATTTATTTTTTTATATACATGTATATTTTTACCTCGAGAGACCGTTAGTTCAAATGCGTCCTCTTATGCTGTTTAGTAAATCTTATAGTTTGTTTTCTCTTTATTATTTTTTTATCGTATATATATAAATATATATATGTTTTAGTTCTTACGATGTTGTATACATATATTAGTTTACAAGTAGAGTACAAGAGGTAAGTTGCTGAGCGTGCGTATATGAATCTATTGCTTCTTGTTCGTCACTCACCCGTCACTCAACGTCATCGCTTCGCTCGTGACGACGATTAAATAACATTGTGACCGAGAATGTACGCGCACAACGTATATTCGCGATGCGGGAAGCCGACAGACACGAAGATCGTCAGCCAGAATGGAAAAGCAAGTCTTCCCCTCCCCCACCCCTGCTCCCATCAAAAAAGAAGTAAAGAATAAAGGATTCTTAGCGCAGTAGACCAGTACAAAAAGGTGGAAGAAGGAAACTTCACAAAAGTCCGCAGGATAATAGTGATAAAACCGATAAGAGCATCTAGATCATCTTAGTGAGATCGAGTGAAATTTCTAAGTGTATCACCACCGAGAGTGAGCGCGTGGATATTTTCTATAAGACAAAAAAAGATTAAAGTAGCGTCGCGTCGCGCTTAATTAACGTTGCGTTTTTCGACGATTAAGCCTCCGATTAAGATTATAAAAAAAAAAAGAGAGAGATCTGTGTAGGACGAAAAATGATTAAAAAAGAAAAAAAAGAGATAATAAGAGAGAATTATTATCGAGAGATATGTATTCGATTTATTTTTCTTATGGGGTTCAGCGAGACCCTTCCGATGAGTAGTCAATGCGAGAAAGCACGACAACACGACAACACACACACGCAGTTAGAATAAATATTATATATANTATATATATATATATATATATATATATATATATATTTATAAATATATATAAAATATATACAAAGTTACGAGTTTTCGACAAATTCGATTTAATCGAGGCCGCGTTTAACCGCGGCTCTACGTATTGAGATCTATATCTATCGTGGACTACGATCGATATCGTCGTGCCAGGATCAAATCCTTGCGAGGCGTCCGATTTGCTTTCCCCGAAACGACAGTGAACCAAGTAGTGTCTTCGTTTCTGTCGATGTACATGCGGGGATACACACCGGATGTGGTAGAAGAGAAAAATAAAGAATGAATAACCTACCAACGTTCACAACACACCGGACGTCCGTCGATCTTTGCGATCTAACGTTGATATCGACTAGCTAACTTTTTTACATATACTTTATCGAGGTGGAATCATACTCTATTAATGCTCCTCTCTACTAATAACTTTCCACAGAAACGAGATAACGCTTAAACAGTAACAATCATCGTCAGGACGTTTCGCGTATTATTATTATTATTATTACTATTATTATTATTATTACATTATTGCATTGTATTATTATTATACTATATTATTATTAATCGTGTTCTTGTTAAGGTAAGAGAAGGATCGTCGTTTGTCGTTCGAGCCTAGTTAAGCAAATTGCGTTTGCGCAACGTCGACGAGAGCGATGCACTCGCGGAAATATTGATATATATATATACGATTTTTCTGTCGGACCACGTTGAGAGCTACCGCTCTACAGTTGCCATCGCGCGAATAATTCGCCCGAAAATATTCTCTCTATTCGTTCAGGCTAGATTTATTTCGGTACTAACACACACACACACACACACATACACACACACACCCGCGCGCGCGCGCGTATATACACGCAAGTGTAACAGAAAAAGATTATCTACGCGATGTTGCACGTTCGAAAACGGACAAACTCGACCTGAGAGCGAACACGTCGCTCATGTTCGAGGCCGTCAATTCACCCTTTCTATCCAAAGAAACACATGAGATATTCGATTTCTTGTAGTATACCGTTTTTAGCTAATTCCATCCTCCGCAAGAAATATATATATATATAATATATATACACACACACACACACTCTATTTTCCTGTTTCTTTTTTACCGGAAGGAAAACACCGTCGCGACTACATCGTATATCGAAGAGGGTGCGGACGCGTGCGGGTTTTCCGTAAGCGCTTTCTTTTTGCCATTATTCTCTCAACAGCCAGAGAGCGACACGCGAGACTTTAGTCAATTAATTATTTTAAGTGCAATTGTATTCGTTGTGTGCACGTGGCGAGTCGACTTACCGCGACGTCACGAGAGACACGCGGAGTCAGCGAAGGTGTGCGGGATGTTAACCCATTTGTCGAACGCTAATGTTCCATCTCAGGAACGCGAAAGCTCCTCTCCACGAGTGAACTAATTTTAGTAGCGAATTATTTGTCCCTGAAAGCGCGTTTTAACACACGTGACGCACGAGAACCTGCAAACTCTAAAACATTTTTATATCAATTGAAAGATTTTATATTATAAGATCTATTAGTTATATAGTAGAAAATAATATATTAAATTTTATTAACGAAGATTCTTGGGTATGTATAACTGATGATTAATATACATAATTGCGACGATGAATCTCGGCCTTGGAAATGGATGAAAGACGAGTGTCTACGCAAGAATGCCGACGAGGGGGCACGTTTTCGGCGAAGACGACGAGAAGGATCGATCGAGAAACGCGGCTAGTCGTTGCTACCGATTGTTACGATCGAATTTCCTCTATTTACGTGTGAAGCGTTACTCGTGAAACGCGTCTCGCCGTTCACGCAGCCGAGTACACACCGAGAAGTCCTCACGTCTTGATTCTTGCGTTAACAACGATATCGTATCGGTGAGGAAGGTATCGGCATTCTCTATGTGTTTCGGCGTTTAGCGTTTCCTCGGGAGCATTCACTTAGTTAAGAGCTTTTACCGCTTACGAGTAACTTCGTTTGCCGTCTTCGATATACACACACAGCACAACACATCTCGCGCGATTAAGGATCTTCGCGAATAAGAAGGAAAAAGATAATAGTAAGAAATAAGTGAGAAAAAAAATCTGTCTTCTTGTCGACGACAACGCGTGCCTGTTGTCTGTCCTTCACTTATCCAAAGAGAGATTCGAAGACTTAAACTTGTAAGGAATTATAAGAACGTAACTGTAACATATACCGTGTATACTCACATTTTTACTTAACGCTTCGCTTTGCTTGTCCATCTCTCTCTTTCTCCCCCTCTCTCTCTATCTCTCGCCCCCTCCCCCGTTCTTTCTATCTTTCTATCTCGTTCTCTCTCGTGATACTTTGCGCGAGCATTGACCTCACGTCGTGACGGATGACTTCGAAGATCCTTGATCCGAGTTATTGTAAAACCACTATATAATATGTAGCCCGTGCACTCTGTGTGAATTTGTTGTCGCGTGCGACACTGTGTCTCACGTTTGTGTTACATTGCGAGCAATTCCAATTAATTAACCGAGATTCTCTGTAATCGTGTGTGAGGAAGACGAGAAAAAAACCACGTGAGACGCGCGCGCCAACGCGTGGCGGCGGTGTGCCATCGTGTTGATGAGTTCCGAATTGCGAGCTTTCGCTCGCGTAAAATTCCGCGCGGCACATCCCTGCGAACACCCGACCAAAACGAAAGAAAAAAAAAAATAGAGAGAAAAGAAGAAGAAAGAAAGACGAGATGAAAAAAAGATGTTTCTCGGAGAGAAGTCCATGGTTCTAGTTAGAAATTCAAAATTGTACCGAGAAGTGTCTGGTGAGAATGAATCTAGTCTTTTGTAAACGATGAACGCAAGATAATGTATATTTTGAGAGTTACGTGCTAGAGGCATCTCGATGCGTAGATAGAGGACAATATTATATTATTGTGTCATACTCTATTCTAACTGAAAGTAATGGAAAATACACACACATACACACACATACACACATACAATGTGAATTAGTGCATATTTTTAATAAATGGATCGCAAAATTAAGACCAAGGTGTCTACTCAAACCCGAAGAAAAGAAATCCCCCGAGAATTCCCAGATTTTCCAGGCAATTTGTTAAAATGAAAGTTTTTTTAAGTGTATCTTGCAAATAAATTGTGCAAAGAATTATTCGAGTTTCAATGATTAAATTTGAAAAATTTTGAAAGAAATTGCGAGGACTCTGAAAAATCAATATTTTATATTATATTAAATCTTCAAATTTTATTTTCAAAAATTACAAACAAAAAAGATATGTAATACATAACTGGTATAAAATGCAACTTTTATATTATTAAAATAAATATCTATCTTAATGAAGCAAAAATTACACCTGACATAAAATCGTTTTCTTCGGTATTGAATATCGTAAAATCGGTATGCTCTAAACATCGGAACAATATAATTAAACGTTTTAATTATATATGTAAATACAGAGAACAAAAGAGAGAATATATTATAAACATAAGCTATATATTAATATTTAAACATTAAATAGAAACTTGAAAACAAAACAATTTTAAGTATATATATATATATATATATATATATATATATATATATATATAGAATGTTAATAAACTCGCGCCTATGATTTATATAACGGTATTCCTTATTAATTAAAATTAAAATTAATTAAAAATCGAGTCGAAAAATCTTGGACTATTTTTTTTTAAGATTCTTAATGAAGAAAATATTATTA